TTCCACTAGCTGTCAATTGGATGTTTTCTATTAATTCAAATCATCTGTTTTTTGTATCCATTCTCTTTAAAGAAAATATGTTTACCAATTTATACAACATTCTCCATAATGAAATAAATATTGAAGGGCACTTTCTCTAATATACATTAATTAATGGGATTAATTATGATTTTTCCTTGAAAAATATTTCTAAGAAGAACTACCTAATAATTCATAACTGTGTCTGCTTGGTTGAAGACGTTTTTCTTAATTGGAGGAAGAAAAAAAAAGAATCTTCGCTTTATAGAAACAACCGAAAATAGATATAGTAAGATAATCACTATAGATAGCTCGAGTTAAAATAGAATCGGTTCTTCTTGCTGTGGGCGTACATATATGTGGGTGTTCTTTGTATCCACATCCACTTTCTTCGATCTCAATGATTGTCAAAAGAGATTGCGTTCTCTTTACTACCGATATATATGTTAGCGTTCGAAGTGAGATTACATCCAATCTCGATTATGAACCTAAAGATAGTTAAAATGTTCAATTATCTTTCATGAATATTTTTATTATGTTTTTCTTCCCATAAAAAAAAAATCTTCTCTTGATTCTACAATGCGGATATTTTCTCTTAACTGAAGCAAAAAAAAATGTCCGTACGTTTATAATAGTTTTTAATTTAAACCATTTGACAATGAATTCACTTGTAACTATCGAGAATCAGTTCAATAGAGTGATAAACTATATCAAATAATGCATTAAAATAAAGCAATCAGTTTTGAAATAAATACTCCTTGTATGAACATTGTTAACAAATAATAATTATCATATTCCCAAATATAGAAAATATTGTTGAGGAACTTTGACACACTAAACTTTTTGTACGAACTTATGAGTAGAAACAAATTGATTCAGATTGTTTTTGATTACATGTTTTTCAAATAATTTGTATTGTTTTGAAACTTGTGAATTCAATTTACTTGGAAGATAACAAGAAGAAAATTCCATGACAAAGAAGAATATATACATAGATAGACGCATACAAGTTTTTGGAAAAAAATGCAATGTATAGATTGATTACATTCTTTTTTCATGGTTTTGTTCAAGTTAGTTTATTTCTACAATATCTGAGAATTTTCTTATTTTGATACGTTTGGATCGAGCATTATTCATTCTGTTAGACTATATAGTTTTCATTTGATTTATCTTACATCTAAAACCAAAATTTGATAATTTTTGAGAAACTGTAAAATAAAAGTCTTTCACAATTATATTTCACGAATACGAAGTTTTTTCAATCACACAGATTATTCTAGATCGAATAGATTCATTTAAATTAAATTTTTAAGCAAGAATGCGTTGTAAAATTACCCGATTACTAGCGAGTTTTGAGTCAGCCGGAATGAGGTCTATGTGTCTAATTCGAACGGTTATAAACTCAATTTCGAGAGGAAATCGATTTCATTGCTTAACAACAACCCTTCTTTCATTAATGAATCCCATAGGATAAAAAGAAAAAAAATGCTTCTTAGCTTCACAGATAAATATTATTTTTTACTTTACAAAGTACTATCAAGGTACGATGTTTTGTTCAGCTGAGTACAAAAAAAAACCGTCATTTTTCAATATCGTAAGTACCTAGGATATTTTTATTCTTGCTTGAGGTACTTATTATTGACGATACCTGATGTTAACCAAATTCGACTTCACAGTTCATATTTTAATCAAATTGGCTGTTAATGTAGGACAACTGTTGATACATGTCGTATGTGATTGAATCGGTTTTCATGCAATCCTTCTATTCTTTCCATCTCTCATCGGCTTGTTGATTAATAAAAACTTGATTGATCATGATTTCGTATTCTAAAGGTCCAGAATTTGAAATCAACTATAGTCATGATATAATAGCAGATTTTTGTCATCTTCTTACTAACATGATTTCTTAAGTAGAAGATGAATTTAGGATGTTTACATCGGAAATAAACATTATAATGAGAGCCGTATAACGAAGTGTCAATTATGAACTATTATCTAATTAAACTCATCAGATATTTACGACTATATATGATAGATTATGATTATCTTCTTCAAATCTATCAAAAAAGTGTCGAAGAAAAGAAAACTATCGTAAAATTTCTGTTCAAAATATGTTTTTCTTTTTTTCTCTCCCTATTGTTTTCCGATTGTGTAGTCTAGAATTCTCTACGGATCTTCTATATATAGGGTGGCCCAAAAGTAACGTTACCGAAAAAAAATGAATATCTCCATTACGGCTCAAGCAAACGGGTTGATTTTTTTATCACTGGAAATAGCATGTTCACACTTCATATTCATAAAGATAAGGCAAGAGAGAACCTTTTTTAAGTACCACTATTGACTTCCACAAGAAAATTTTTACTTTTTTCACCGATAGGGAAAAAAACAATATACAGAGTAGTGCAAAAGTTACTTTACCGAAAAAGAATTGAATATCTCCATTACGGTTCTAACAAACAAGCTCATTTTTTTACCAGTGAGAAAGGCATATTCAAGCTTTATATCCATAAAGACACATCTAGAGAGACCCTTTGTTACGTATGTTGGTTTTTTCCGATCTGTGAAAAAAATTTTTTTGCTGAAGCCAATAGTGGTACTTAAAAACAGTTCTCTTTTGCCTTGTCTTTATGAATATGAAATGTGAACATATCTTTACTAGCGACAAAAAAAATCAGCCCATTTGCTCGAGTCGTTATGGAGATAGTCAATTTTTTTTCTTTCGGTAACGTTACTTTTGGGCCACCCTGTATTTAACTTTTTTTTTGTCTGTATGAAAGAACATGACTAGCTACGAGGCCTAATAAAGCGGTTTTTTTTTCAATTAAGCTTAGTTTTTATTATATACATAAAAGCACTCCTATCAATAGCTTTCCATTTTTAGATTTTTCTGTCGTGTTGAACTTGGTATCCTTTTCCTTCGCTACAAGAAACAAGAATTCTACAAAGAGATTCTGTCAGACCCTGTAGCTTTACATGTTCTTTCAAACTAAAATAATTAAATATACTGGATGAAAGCCTTCAGGGATTGTTGAGGTTGCCGAATGAACTGCTTTTAATCCTTTTGTTGATGAATACTTCCCGAAAAAGCATCTTTGTAAAGAGCTAAAAATTCTATCATAGCCTCTTCACTGCAGCAAGAGATGTAAGCCAGTGCATTGATCGAATCTTTTGATGATTCATTTTGAAATTCTCTTGGTTTTAAGAGATTTTGAAATGGAAAAAAATAGAAAACGATACCCGAGAACTGATTGATAAGGAATTGGACAATTTAGGTGAAAGAAATAAAAACCAATGATTTTAATCGATTTTTTTGTCTAATTGAAAATCAATTACAATTAGCCGTACTTACATTCGAATTTAACCAGATTATTTGAAACCTTTTGGAACAATAAATAGTAAGTACGACACTAGATCAATCTTTGACATGAATGACCTACTTCAAGATACGAAATCAATCGATGCTACATTTTATAAGAGAAAAACAAGAATACAATAGATTAAAATCAGATAGTTTTTTCATTGAAAAGAACATCCACCGAAATCTGATCCTGAATGTCAAAGGTTTTTGAAAATTGATCATCTTTTTCTGTTCCATAGCATGTGACGATTAAGTTGCCTGAGTGTCAACAGTTCTGTCAATTGGTTAACATTGTTAACTATAACTCCAGCATATCTTGAAAGTGTCATGCGCTTCGAATGCACCTAGTTCAACATTGATTTTTGACTGTAAAGAGATTAAAATAGAATCTCATGTTTCGAACTAACTGGTTTTTAAATGTTTCTTCAACTTGTATCATACTTTTCGCTATTCATTCATAAGCACGTGTAGCAAGTTGTCAAGTTATACATTGCTTTCGACACATATCTTCCAACGAAGCTACAACACATTCTCATGAGACGAACTTTGAAAACATAGTTCGAATTTACTCTATATTCTTCAAGTGCAAGACAATAAGATCCTAAGATCTAGACAACCAATGTGAATTCGATTCCGATCAGATCATTTCGAGGTAGTCCATTCTTGGACAGCGATTACTCTCTGAACGTATTCTAGAACCATGGCTAACCGAGAAATAATCTAGACAAGAAGATATACAAGAATGCATAAGATCAGTAAGCTCAACCGAGTCGGCGATATATATTTGCACACATAGAATGGTACTCTTGTTAAAACGTCACTGTAGTGTAGCGCCATCCTTTGTGTGAAATTTATCTTTAATAAAAATAAAATGTATACCCGAATATACTCTCTAATTTAATACATTTCCGTTACAATTTCTTGTTCGAATATTTATACCAAATTCGAATGCAACGTCACTAAATGCATTCGATATTGATTCTCATTTCTCGCCACGCGTTCAACCAGAAGATTTATAGAATTAAAAACTGAAGAAAATGTTTTCACTGTTATGGATTTTATACGAAAAAAATTGGTATTTCACATAATGAAACAGGCATCAAAAATTGATGTATTTCAATTTCATTGATTAAAATGAACATATTAATCAAATAGATGCAATGAAAAAGATTTGGTTTTTCATCAAAATCATGGAATTAAATCGATGATAATGTTCATTTTAATTGGTGAATTTGAAATACATCGATTTTTATGTTTGTTACATCATTTGAATGTAATTTTTTTTCGATTTTTAAGTCTCTATCGATCATATACAATTCCATAATATCAATAAAGTAGTCCATAGAATGTTGTTCTCGTAGATTATTTGTTCTTCAGATAGACCAATAATACGTAAGAAGCTCAAATGCCTCCATGTTAACATCTGTTTCATCAAACAAATTTACTTTCTTTTTTTTTCATCTTCACATTTGCTGTACACAGTAGTAAATAATCTGATGAAAACAGAAGAAAATCTTTATTTTATTTCATCAGCTTTTCTTTTGCAATTCATTAAATTTTATTACCTATTTAAATTGTAGATTTTAAACCATCCGTCATCTCTTATTATATTTACAAAACAAATATGGCATCCAACCAAGGCAATGGCGTTAGTATTTTATAATATTTGTAAATTAAATAATAAAAATAAAATCTATTCTAGACACTTTATACCTTTCCGGGTAATTTTCGTGCTTATAAAGCTCAAATTGCAGCTCGTTATAGTGGAGCACGTTTGACTATTGCCGGCGAAGATAAATTTAAAATGAATGAAACTAATCGATCAGAAGAATATCTTAACAAATTTCCAACAGGCAAAGTATGCATAAAAAAAAATATATACATAATGATTCTTTGATCTTTCAATTTTATTTTTTAAGGTACCAGCTTACGAAAATGATGCTGGTGTTCATTTATTTGAATCCAATGCAATTGCTCATTTTCGTTAGTTAATAAATCTTTGTATTTTATTTTAAATCAATTATATATATTCATTTATTTTAGTATCAAATGAACAACTTCGTGGTAAAACATTAGCTGAACAATCACAAGTTCTTCAATGGATTAGTTATGGTGAACATGAAATAAATCCAACATCAGCTACATTAGTTTATCCATGTATGGGTATTATGCAATTTAATAAACAAAATCATGAACGTGCAAAATCTGAATTACAACATATTTTACAATTACTTAATAATTATCTTCGTGCAAGAACATATCTTGTTGGTGAACGTATTACATTAGCCGATATTGCTGTTGCTTGTGATTTACTTTTACTTTTTCAATGGGTATGAAATATAAAAGAAATTATATGATTTGTTTTTTTTTTTGGATTTTTCTTTTTCTTTTTAATATTTGAAATTTGCATTGTTTAGATACTCGAACCACATTTACGTGATCCTTATCCACATGTAAATCGATGGTTTTTAACATTGATTCATCAAGATGAATTTCAAGCAGTTATTGGTAAGGATTTTAAATTATGTGAAAAAACAGCACAATTTGATGGTAAGTTTAAATTTTGATTAATATTATTATTTATTTTTATTTTTTTGAAATATTTATTTTCCTGTTTAGCAAAGAAATATGCTGAAATTTCACGTCAAGAACAACCACTACAAACACAAGCAGCTACAAAAAATATTCCACAAGGAACAGATCAAGGTGGAAAGAAAAAAGAAAAAGAAGAAAAACCAACTCAAGAAGCAGCAAAACCAGCAAAAAAAGAAAAGCCAAAGGAAAAAAATGAAGATGAAGAAGCTGGTGATGAAACTGAAGATGTTTATGCTAATGAACCTAAACAAAAAGATCCATTTGCTGATATGCCAAAAACATCATTTAATATGGATGAATTTAAACGTGTTTATTCAAATGAAGATACAGCTACTAAAGCTCTACCATATTTTTGGAGTAATTTTGATAAGGAAAATTGTTCAATATGGTTTTGTGAATATAAATATCCGGAAGATTTAACACAAATATTTATGACATGTAATTTAGTATCCGGATTTTTTCAACGTTTAGATAAATTACGTAAACATGCATTTGCTAGTATGTGTGTTTTTGGTGAAAATAATAATAATACTATTACTGGTGTTTGGGTTTGGCGTGGACAGCAACTTGCATTTGAGGTAAGAAAACAAAAAAATTTTTTTTTTCTTCTTTTCCTTATATATATATATTTTTAAATTTAGCTTTCATCTGATTGGCAAGTTGATTATGAATCTTATTCATGGAAAAAATTATCAGCTGATGATGAAAATACAAAAAAATTAGTTAATCAATATTTTCTTTGGGAAGGTGAACATAATGGTAAAAAATTCAATCAAGGCAAAATCTTCAAATAAAATAGAATCATGTTCAGAAAAGAACACGATACACAAGAAGAAGAAAAAAAGAAAAGAATAAATTGCAGATCATTGTTTCTTTTTCTTTTTTTGTTTTTTGTTTTTTACAGATTGTTACACTCACGGCGTATGTTACCTGTTTAATCTTCTATGCTTTTCATGTGTCTGCATAAACGAAAATAAAAAGCAAAGGAACACCTACAGAGAATGAAATTTTGAAAAATGAATATGTCAAATCAAGAAGAAGAATTATTACTTAACATTGATATTATGATAGTTCAAATTGAATATATAGAAAGTATATTTATTATTTTGTTAATAGTAATCTGAATAGAATTATGCTTGATCATCTCACAAGAAACGTATTCTTTTAGAGGTTTCATTGTAGAATTAATACTGAAATGTATAATTTGCTATTGAATAAATATCAATTTGAATGTGTATAAATGGATTGTGAATTATTGAGACATAGATTTAATGCAATACATTATTTACAATATAACATTTCTATAGTGAACATCTTTTGGACTTTTTAAAAGTGTCCACGATAAGGAGACACGATCTTTTCTACAAAGAACAAACATGTATTGCTAGGTATTTGAAAGATGTTAGTGAATAAAAAAAATTAAACTATTATTCATTGCTATTTGTCTTTTCGTGCATTTTTGTTCTTGAAAAATTAACAATTATTAAAATATAGTAAAATCTTCTCGTCATGGCCACCATTGAAACTTTTCAAAAGTATTCATTATAGAACTATATGATAATGTCGACTACAGAGATGTTCATTTCTAGCAAAAATCACTTCGTCAAACCACAAAGTGTCCACTACGGGAAGTTTTACTATATTTAGATTAGTCTTATTGATGAATGATAATTCTAAAGATTATTCCTTCATTCAAATTCAACGTGTATGAAAATGTTCATAGTCTAATTATTAAAATCTGTAGAACAAGAAACGGTAAACGTATAACGTAAATTAGTAGTGATCAGCAAGGTGGCCATAACTTTTTTATTTTTCATTTTATAAAAAGGTTTTCTACACCAGACATCTACCTACTGTCATGCTCTATTGGTTGGTGAAAAAATTTTCTCAAAATCTTGTGAGTACACCTATCTACAAGATGTTCTTTGAGTAGTGCATTGAAATTATAGGTTTATCCCGTTTGAGTCTAATGTGTAATCCGGCTCATGTCACTTGAGTAAGTGTATAATCTTAGCCTTTTTTTATATATTTTTTCAAAAACCTAATTTTTGAGCGATTGGTATTTTGTTTTTTTGTGATATTTTTAACCAATCAACAGCTCAAAGTCATCTCTATCTCCACATGGGATAAATGTATCCAGTTTTTTTTTGTTTGTAGATCTTTTTGTACGCTTTGTAAAACAAAATTAATCTTTAAATATGACCTAAAGATTAGTTTAGAGTAATAGAGATGACTCTAAGCTGTCGATTGATAAAAAAAACACAATGCCAATCGCTCAAAAATTAGGTTTTAAAAAATATATAAACAATGACTAAGATTATACCTATACCTCAGTGATATCAGCAGAATTATATATTAGACTCAAACGAGATAAATCTATAATCGCAAAGTACTACTCAAAGAACATCGTGTAGATAGGTGTACTCACAAGATTTCGAGAAAATTTTTTCACCAACCAATAGAGCATGACAATAGGTAGATGTTTGGTGAAGAAAACTTTTTTATAAAATAAAAAAATAAAAAAGTTATAGCTATTTTGCTGAAGATCACTAATTTACTTTATACATTTATCCCCTCTTACTCTATTTCATATTATCAAAAAAAGTTGTAACTTATTCATTTTTAGACGATCAATAAAATGGATATGATCATCCAGACTAGTCAGATTAAGTTAAATATATGTTGACTTAAGCAAAAGCAACTAGATGGCATTTGAGTGTCACTCGACTTCTAAATGTGATGCGAAACTACAAATGTTGATTATCAAAGAAAACAACGATATCTTATAAAAAACGAACAATCGTTTTCACAATTTATCGTAAAGCACTTTTCTCCAAAAAATACTTAGGTTTTATTGAGATCAGGGTTTTTTGTCAGAGTAACCCAGAAAATTTATATTTCGGTCAATCAGCTGATCGAGGTCAAAATAAACATGAAAAGTACTCTTTGTGAAATTTATTACTAAGAGAATTTTATTCATAAATATCAACATGTTTTTATTGAATATTTTCGATTGATTCTCTCTCGAATCCATGATCTATCATCAGATGTCTTAATTATAAGTACAGAGAGTAGCAGCTAAATTTTATTGCTATCTTTGTTTCAGTTATCCTGAAGACAACAAATTTTGGTGCGTACTTCGAAAAAATATATTAAATACTGTACTTTGGATCGCAATAAAAATCATTCCTCTAATAAATATAACATAATAAAAAAAAAAAGGTGGTCATGGAGTGGTAACGGTGAGCTGTTTGAACATTTGAATTTTGCGGTAAACCGCTACCTTCGGACCACCGTTTGCTAGTATATTAAAACTTAATCTTATGTTGATAATCGATAGATATTGTGCAATAACATAATAACATAAGATCTATGTACAGATTCTGTACATATATGAGGCAAGTAACATCAATAGATCGATCCTACTTCGTAGCACAATCGGACGTCTTTTTTGGTATTCATGTGTAAGACATCTGTTGGTATGATTTAATCAGATCATATACGACATAAGGTAGTAAAATTTGTCAAAAGTAAAATGAAATGATGTATATTAATGATAAAAAACTTCAAATGAAAACAGACAACGTCGAACAGACTTGTTATTACTGTTTCTAGTTCATTGTCTTAACTATCAGCCTTGTTAAACAAGTTTTTATTTCATTTCACGTGTTTTTAAGTTATAATTTTTAAATTTCTTGCTATTAATACAAGATAAGATAAAAAAAACCTTAACATCATCTGTAAAGTAGACCTATTCTATCATATCTTAATGTCGTCATTTAATTTGTTATCTATTGGTGTTGCCAACATACAAAATAAAATAAATTGTCATATTTCCCTATAAATATTGACTACCAAGATATTAGCACGTATTAGAAAAAAACAATAATGGCTGCAAGTTATTCAAACAAAGAGAATGTTGATCCATCAATAGCAACAGTCACATGCGATAATCGTGATCCACATGGCATAAACAAACATCTTCAAGCATGAAAACATAAATATTATTCAAAAAAAAAAAATTAATCTGTTCTATTTTGTTTAGCTTGATTTTTTCAATGTCATTGCTGAGCCTGATGCAAGTGCTTATAATTTTGAATTGTTACATGAAATTTCTAATAAAGTTTATCGATACACTAAAATTATTATTTATCGGTTTTTATCAATTCTTATTGGTTTACCATTAATGTTATGCTGGGGTCTTATTTTTGGTATTTATTCATTCACTATGATATGGATTGCTGTACCAATTCGTCGTTTATGTCAATCAGCAATTGCTGAAGGTGGTTTGTATATTCAAACAATAAGCGATGCTATTGTGGCTCCACTTTTTCGTTCATTCGGACAAGTGTATTCTAATGTTCGCATGACTTTATTTAGTCACGCAATTGATTCATCAAAACAAATTCAAGGATAAATGACTAGTTAAAACGCAAAAAAAACAAAACAAAACAATTGAATATTTTCTTTTTTTTCTAATAAGGAAGTTCAAGTTTTTTTAAAGCTCTTATTAATATATCATGTTCAGAAATTAATAAGTGATCAATTAAATCATGATTTTTTAATGATGTTATATTTAATGAACGAATAAATAATTGTATACGTGTTTTGAGATATGTTCGTACGTCATTATCTTTATCTAATGTATATATATTAAAAAATTCATCCATTGTCATGTTTTTTGAAAGAACATTCGAAATATCATCTAATAAAAAAAAAAACAAATAGAAATAAAACTAAAAGAAAAAATTTTCAATACAATTTTACCTAAATTCATAAGAAAAATTTTAATGAAAATAAATATAGTCGGATTGAAAAGTTCATCATCAACGAATAACAGATATTTATCTGATCTAAAAAAACAGAAAATCATAAATACACATTGTTTATTGCCAATATAATAACATTCTTTTGAATTATGATTAATAAATAAAAATAAAAGGCATACATCTAGGGGATCGTATGACTAATCAAGTTTATTGAAGTATACAGAACATCTAAAAACCAAGTCATACTAAAGCTAATCTCTTTTATTGCTTTATTTCATTAATGAGTTTTTCTATACGATGAAAAATCTGTGGTTCTGTAACAGATCTTTTTTTTCCGAAAACTTATTCGATTGATGATTTCAAGTCTAGGTTCCACCGCTTTGGTCGAACTTTTAGATGTTTTTTTCAGCTGTTTGGTAGGCGCAGTATCACGAATGTATATCATTGTATTCTTAACGGTTTGATACTTGATTTTCAGATCGTTATTAACTGCATGTGACACGATAAAATACAATCGGTATACTGCGTCTACCTAATGGTCAATTTACAGACATTTTGCGATAGCAAACTTCTATGAAACGACAATATACAATACCATTTTTGGCTATTATGGCGACTGTAATCATCATCTTGGCTCAGGTATAAAACAACGGCACCATAAATGATATAAAACTGAGGACAGCGTTGTTATGACATCGCCATTTTCCTTAAGTTCGTGAAACTTACGGTAAAAACTAATACAGTAATACGCCGTTTCCGACGCTCGGAATGATCGCCTGCGCTAGGAGAGGTGTATACGGTGAAAAATTACGTACAATTGCACCTCTCTTCTCCCGTAGTGAAATCCAGATGATGATTCAAAAAAACCTTTCAAAATGGTTTTATGTATGTATGTTGTAAGTGTAGCAATTTTTTAAAATATCTACTAACATAAAAAAATCGAGACAAATTTAAGCTTTTTTTAAAAATTGTATCTACAAATCTTAATAGTTTTTCATATGATCTCAATAAAAATATAAATAGATCGATATATTTACGTTTCTAATCCATAACGTTGTAGAAGTTGACTTTTTTCTTCATAAGCTTTATCGGTCTTTGAAAGTGCTTTAAAAATAAAAGAATAATATTTTACTTTTTTTTTTTGAAAAACAAAAAAATCTTTTGTTCTTTCTTTTTTTTACCTAATTTTAATAAATATGTATCATATGGATTTGGTTGATTAGGTACAAAACCATTATGTATTAAATATTCTGCATTTGTTCGTTTTCCATAAAACATAAATATTTGTTCATTTTTTTCAACATCTTTCATTGTTTTACATTCAATTTGTTGAAGTTGTAAATCATAATGAATACATTCTCGACCATATTCATGATTAAGAAAATCCATAACAGGTATTAATGATAATTGAGGTTCTCCATGATCATTCAATATATTATTTTGTCGTGTTGAAACAACACTAACAGCCCATCTAAATTTAATTAAAAGTTTCAAAAAAAAAAATCTCAATAAAACGAAAAGAAAAATAAACCTATAAGCATCATATGAAAAATTTTCAGCAAGTTTTGATAATGATAATTGACCCTTAACAAAAAAAAACAAATCATATCCTGTAAAAACGAAAAAAAAAACTTTCAAATCTTTTTTTATTTTTACTTTAAGAAGATTATGTAAGTAACAATATTGTCTAGTTATTCGTTGTATATGTGTTAAAACATCACCTAAATAGTTATTTATTGTATAACTAAACAACAACAACAAAAATAAAATTATTCTTACAAAGTGCAGCAGATGATTTTAATCGATTAAGTTGATCATAATCAAAATACAATGGTGTATTAAAATGATTGGGTAAAACATCAATATATGGTTGCCATTTTGATTGAGATCGTTCATGAAGAAGAAATAATGCAAGAGCTACATTGGGCATTGAACGAAGTAATTGATCTTTTAGTATTAACGGACCCAACGATGATGAAGTCATAATTGTATCCGTTGCGATAATAATTGAACGTGGTACAATAAGAAAACATTCGTCAGACTAGAAAATTTTGAAAACAAAAAAAGAATTTTCGAAAAAAAAAGAAAATTTTTATTTAATAAATTACTGCAAGATTTTTTGTTGCTTTTAAACCAAATCCATAATTTTCAAAAGAACAAATTTCAAAATTTGATGTATCAACACCATTTGAATGTAACCAATCGATGAAAACATTTAAATGTTCTTCACGATTGCATACAGGATTTGATTTTAAAAGGTCTATATTATCAAAAAATTAATTCATTTAAAGATTATTTTTTCTTTTCAATTAATTTTACTTTTTTCTATATCAATTACTTTTTGTAATTTTTCATAAATTGATTCGAATTGTGACCATTTTATTATTTCATTTGCTGATAAACATTCTACAATAAATATTATTATTATCGAGAAAACTCAAACATAATATGAAATACCTTGATAAAGTTGAGCGATTAAATCTTCACGATTTTGTAATAATTGTCTCTTTTTCTTTTTATCCATCTACAATAGAATTATCTTTTCTTCTTTATTTTTCAATACAAGCATGAGATAGGAACGATCTGTACACAATGAGCAACAATGTGGACATTAAGTGAAAATATGAAAGTGACGCAGCTGCTAAATTCATTGGAAAAACTTAGTCGCAAAAAAGGTCAAATTTCAACATCGTTAGAGAAAAACATCATTTTATTTGAAAAATAAAAAAGAGTTGGACAATAGATTATATATAATCTGAAACTAGGACTTCAATTCTATCGATTTATAAGAAAAGTTTTTCATTCTCAAAACATAATTTCTTTTTAAGCTAAGTGTTTTCCGAAAAGACGTCTTCAGTAAAGTTGGCTGTCACTTTTTTCCACTAATCTGATATCAAGGAAACTTTCAGAGAATATTCTTCTATATCTAGGAAATATACTCAATTAGCGCAAAGATGCACAAATACTTTTGGACTGACGAGGGAACCTATCCAACTGATAAACGACGTTAGTATTTTCTCACAAAAGCTCCGAAAATAGTTCATTTTTGAGATATTCCATATCTTAAGAAAAAAATCATCTGTTTGAACTGAAACCTTTAAGATATAATAAGGACCACAAGACCTATCATTAGGGAAATTTTCAAGCAGAAATTGCTCATTGAGGCTTTTTTTTTCATAATACGCTGTAATAGGCTGAAAATTCAGTAAAATAACAATAACTCGAGAAGAAAGACTTAATGGCATGAATCTTTTTAGGATTTTTATCTATATTATGAACTCTACTTATGGGCAAAATATGAGTTCAAACAGCCTTTATCAGTTGGATACGTTTTCTCGTGAGATACAGATTTTCTTTCAAAAAAAACCCTTAGATTTTAAAGGTTTTTCGCGTTTTCTTTGTCACAGAAACATTTTGAAAGAAGATTAGTGATATATTTGGAATCATTGTGAAGAGCTGCATTGAGTAATATAGCATTTGTCAATTTTTAAAATAAAAAGTTTTTTCACAGGAGTTTAGAGTAAGGACTCCCCTCAGAGATTTTCCATTAATCTTATTTTTGAGTACAAGAAGCTAATATTTCTATGAAAAAAAAAATCGTTTGTTGACAGAAAATAAGTCATGTCAATGTGCTCGATAGGAATTGCCCACTGTGTTGTAATTTATCGCTGGTAACTTGATGGGTTTCTCTATTAAAAAGTTCATTAAATTCTTCTATATTCTTTTTATATCAGTCAAAATCAAATACAAAATGTAGAATAACATATATGATGTTTTTTTAATTTTTACTAAAATTTCAAAAGCATTAAATAATTATGGAAAAAATAGAATGATCTTTTTTTCTTTCTTGCAATTTCAAAACAAAACAAAAAAAAGAAGTCTTTAGATAATATTGTCAAAGACTCTAAACGGAAAATTCAATTTACCGAACGTAAATAAAAAGAAGCTGACACCTGAGCATCACAAACATTTAACCTATTAAGAATAGGTCTAGAAAATACAAAAAAACACAC